CCCTCCCCCACGGTATAACCCCTGCTCTCACTGTATTTGATGTTGGTATAATTTGTGGAGGGGAAGGGCAAAAACAAATCGTTTAAATAGGGATACAGATGGACCCCATTGCAACAATGAGATGTACAAGTCATTAAGTCAAAAAACAAACTTTACAACTTTGGCCAGGAGGCAGGGGTTGGGGGAGGGTTGGGAGGGGAGGATGAGAAGGGATGGGAAGGGGAAACAAAGGAGGAGGAAACAATGCTTGATCAGAAATGTACTTATTATCTTGCCCATGTAATTGTAACCCCTCTGTACCGTATTTTCACAATTTAAAAAAATTAGCTGGATTTTGAGATCAATAGCATCAACCTATATAATAATTTGAGAAGAACTACTGTCTTAAACCATCAATATTTGTATCTAGCTAGGCATGCTGGTTCATGCCTGTAATCCCAATTACTGAGTAGCAAAGACAGAAGGACTTTGGTTGAGGCTAGTCTGGGCAAAAAGTTAGCAAAGCTTCCATCTTAGCCACAAGCCAACCACAGAAGCTATGGGAGGCTCAGGGAAGGGACCATGGTCTGATGCCAGCCCAGGCAAAAAAAGCAAGACACTATCTGAAAAATAACTAAAACAAAAAGCTCCGGAAGCATGGCTCAAATAGAGTGCTTACATACGAGTGCAATTACTAGTTCAATTCAGAGCTGCCCAAAGGAAAGAGAAAAAAATTATCTAGCTGTATGGTATGTCTTTCTGTTTACTCAGATCTGTTTAATATATTTCAACAATGTTTTATAGTTTTCAAAATACAAGTCTGGCACTTCTGTTAAATCTATTCCTAAGTATTCTTTTCTTTTGATCCTCTTCCAAATGGAATTTTTTCTTAATTTCAATTACTCTTCATTCCTTATGTATTATTTTCTACAAAATACTCACACAGTAAACTGGGTAATTTCCAGTAACTACTGAAAGGCTTGAGTACAGGGTCTGTCTTCTTAACCAGTGTGGCTGTACAGTGGTCCCTAATTCAATTCAGGGGCTCTGCAGTGTTCTGAGTTTGGCTATTAAGAATAACGCAGCCAGGCACTGGTGGCTTACACCTGTAATCCTAGCTACTATGGAGTCTGAGATCTAAGGATCTTGGTTTGAAGACAGTAAAGCAGGAAAGTCCATGAGACTTTTATCTCCAAATAACCACCAAAAAAAGCCCTAAGTAGAGCTGTGGTTCAAATGGTAGAGGACTAGCCTCAAGCAAAACAACAAAGGGACAGAACTCAGGCTGTGAGTTCAAGTCCCAGAACTAGCATGCACAGAAAAAAATGCATATGTAATTATTTTGGTAGAGGATTTTGTAAAACACAAATTAACATTTTTCTGTGGAGAGTTTAATTGCTCAGTTACATGATAGTTGAATAGTTTTTTTTAAAGAAACAGTCAGATAATTTTCCAGAATAACTATACCATTTGATATTTCTAAAACAATGTGAAAGTGATCTCATTATATTTTAGCCATTCTGGTAAGTGTGGCGCTATAATTCCTAGCTTTCATTTCAATTTCCTGATAACACTGATTATCTATAGAGCTAATTCTTTGGCCCACTATTGAATTTTTTTTAAATGTGGAATTGAATTTTTTTAATGTGGAATTTTGAGTTTTTATATATTACAGATACAATCCATACTGGGTACATGGTTTAGGTTTACTAATGTTTTCTGCCAATGTGTTCACTTTTTTTTTTTTGGCAGGGCCTGGGCCTTGAACTCTGGGCCTGGGCACTGACCCTAAGCTCCTTTTGTTCAAGGATAGCTCTCTACCACTTGAGCCAGAGCACCACTTCTGGCTTAATTTTTCATTAATTGGAGATGAGTCACATGGACTTTCCCACCCAGGCTGGCTTCGAACTGCGATCCTCAGATCTCAGCCTCCTGGGTAGCCAGGATTACAGGCATGAGCCACCACTCTCAGCTTGTGGCCTTATTTTTAAAATCATATTCACAACTGGTCAAAAAGCATGTTTAATTTTTTTTTCCAGTACTGTGGTTTGAACTAGCTAGCTAGCTCACTTGCTCTTTCTCTCTCCTCTCTCCATCTTAGCTAGCCTTCTCAGCTCTAGGTTGGGGTTCTATCATTTGAGCCACACCTTGGTTCTGTCCTTCTGATAGTTAATTGGAGACAAGAGTCTAGTGGATTTGTTTGCCCACTCTGGCTTCAAATCTCAATTCTTAGATCTTGATATCTCAGCCTGCTGAGTTGTTAGAATTGTAAATGTGAGCCAGCAGTACTCGGGTATTTTCAATTTTAGTGAGATGCCAGTTTCAATTTTTCTTTTATTTAATGTTCTTTTGATACAGTCTAATAACTATTTGCTTAGCCCTAGATTCTGAACATTCTCTATGTGTTTCTGGAAAGTCTTCTATTTTTACATTTTACATTAAGTACATGAATGTTCTAGTTCAATTTGTTGAAAAAGCAACCATTTTATAATCTGTTTTTGTGCCCCTGTCAGAAGTCACTTCTACAAATCTGAACAGGTCTGTTTGTATCTCCTTAAGGATTCTTTGGGGATTGTCTCCCCCTCTCCTACCTACATAATGCTAGGAATGAATCCATTTAACTGGCCTTAAACCAGGAGAGTGGTCCTTCCTACTGTCTTAGCCTTGTCAGGACTGCTTTGTTAGGCCAGAGCCTGTGCCTTCCTCAAGTAGCTTTGGAATAAGATTGTCTATGTCTTTAAGAGGAAAAAGAGAGAAAAAACTTTCTGTGATCTTGAGAGGAAGTATGTAAGGCCTGTTGGTACAATTTTTGGAAAACTGTAGGAGGAATGTCTCAATCCAAAAAAAAAAAAACGTGTCTATTTACTTAAGTAGTCTTTAATTTCAGTTATCAACAAATTGTTGATAGATTTTATTTTTGCTGAATGTTAAAAAGTACTGTATTTCTCTTCCTTCTTTCTTCCACATGGGGAAGAGCACTTCAAAAATGGTGTTAATACTTTTATGTGTTGATCTTATAACTTGACACCTTGATGAACTGAGTTTAAGGAGATGTTTTTGGTTCATTTGCTTCTCTAACAAATCCCTTCAGATTTCTACACTCACTAGCACATCACTTGCAAATAGTGACACTGTAAACTTCCTTTCCAACCAGTACATCTAACCTCACTACCACATCCACCTTCAAATAGTGACAGTGTTATTCCTTCTTACCCAACTGGCACATCTTTAACCTGCTTTCCTGTCCTACTAGAGAGACAAGTCCTTACTCATTATCACGCTCAGACAGGAGCATATGTCTGACCTGACTAAGGAGGGTATGCTTGTTTGCAGAGAGAGCATGGTTTCTCAACATGTTAGTTGTAAAAAAGGGCTTCTTTGTGAGAGTTCCTATGTGCATAAAATATGCTTGGATCCAATTCATACTATTACTCATCTTTCCTCCCCATTTTAAAAAAATAATTAACAGGTTTATTTTTTGTTTTCATGCATGTACATAAAATACTTAGATCATATCCCACCCTCTCCTTCACTCTGTCTTCCTTCTCCCACTGGCACCCCCCCACAAATACAACCTGTTTTACATTCTTGTCATTCATTTTTAAGGACCAGATTCTGCAGAAGAGACAAAACATGTAGTATCTGTCTCCCTCAGTAGAGCTCATTTTGCCTAACATTATATTGAACTCTAGAATAATTCAAAACACTGAAATATTTTGCAAGTATCTGTTTGGTTGCTATTACATCATGCTTAATTTTTAAAAGACACTGCATCTTTAGGGAAAAAAAGAAAGCTAGTATACTCTTACAAATGGCTTATTTAAATCAACAGAGATAAACAAAGAGAGTAGATGGAAAGCCACGAAGACACTAACACTGTGAAGAAAAGGACACAAGTGGTGTATTCAGAGGGGACCAGGCAGAGGCAGCAACCAGAGTGAATGCCACGCATGCAGACTGTCCACTCAGTCCACTCAGACCACCAGCCACCCTAAGCAGTTCCATACTTCAATCCACTGTTTCTCTACGGCTTCTTCCCACCAATATAACTGTTCTTTCCTAGTTCTTTTCTGTTTTACTTCCACTCATCTTATACTCTTCAATTTTTTTTTTGGGGGGGGTCCGGTCGTGGGGCCTGAACTCTGGGCCTTGGCACTGTCCCTCAGCTCTTCAGTTCAATGCTAGCACTCTACCACTTGAGCCACATCGCCACTTCCAGCTTTTTGTTTTTTGCTTATGTGGTGCTGAGGAATTGAACCCAGGACCTCATGCATGCAAGGCAAGCCCTCTACCACTGAGCCACCTTCCCAGCCCCATACTCTTCAAATTTTTAAGTCCATGAAGATGCTATATGCAAATACATGTATATTGACTATATGTGAAATATATATGTGAATATATAAATATGTAAATCTGTAGACTACACAGCTACCTGAACAAGTAAGCTCCAGAAAAAAAGTAGGTATTACTAATACATTCTTATACAATTCTGTTGTCAAATGGAATAATTCTGATATTACAACACTAAACAGTTAACACATGCTATTTTGAACAAAATATAATTTTACCTACATACACTGAAATATACTTTAGCAAAACAGAACATACAAAATCTGGATTTTTATTCAAGTATAACAAATTTTATACAAACATATCAGGATTTAAAATGTCAATCTCAAACTTTCTTCAAATCAGGCTAAATGTGAATGGGTGATATATACATGTGTATATATGTATATAAGACCTATGAAAAAATTCACCAACCTTTTCCACTATGATTAGGTCCCCAACCTGTATGTCTGAACTCTTAACTTGCACTTTACCTTAAAAAAAAAAAAAAAAGACGTATAATCAGGTCAAGGAAACAAAGATCATTTTTTTAACTGACACATAATTACTTCAACAATAACTCTAGGGCAAAAACATAATTTGTGACTTTTTCAGACAAACGTTTTTAGCTAACAGCCAGAGGTAAGTTTAAATAAGTTTACAAAAACTAACAGTACCAGCCATATAGTGACATTTAGACTCATAATTAATGTCACTTGTAATTCATCACTTTAGTAAACTACCAAACACAATTAATTAGTAAAAAGACATCAATAATTTGTTCATGATAATTTAGAAAGAGATTCCATTTGGAACGTTTCCCCATATTTAGTGTTTCAGTTCTCTGCCAAGTTACCAATGATCAGGAACATTATTAGATAATATGGAGATACAAAATTACCTAAATTAATATTGTGGATAGCATTGACTGGCACAAAACTCACAAAAAAAGAAATAATGTAAATCATACATATAATCATCCTCCACTAGTGGTAGCATTGCGGACACCAAAAGATCTGAAAACGAGGACCTAAAGCTTTATTTTTAAGAGATTTTCCTATGTAATGTATTGAGTAAATCCTTATATTATCTAAATAATATCTGATGCACCATAGTCATCTATGAAATTGATTATATATGTTTAAATATATACACTTGAATGTATAAGCTGACTGACTATATATACTTAAATGTTATATACAGTATGACAGAACAGATAAGCATTTGAACAGACAAAACTGATACACTTTACCCCCCCTCCTCTGCCTTAGCCTTCCTCATTCCTTTCCTCTCATTCCCACTTAGGAAGATCAAAAACCTTTTGGTTGTACATTTTTGTAACTATTGTATCAACACATGAAAAAGTTCATTTGTGATTTTCACATAGTTTATTCTCAAGCTAATGGAACCAGAAGTAATTTTCATATTACTTTATCAAAAATTAATACTATTGTCATTTACTGATTTTTAAATGCATCTCCAATGTATTATAAAACCTTTTCTAAATACCTCAAAGCAACTGGGCTTCATTAACATCATGCTTTTCTAAAGATTTGTTTTTTTATTATACAGTTATGTTTTTCCAATTACACAAACCCTAAAGTTTATTATCCAAATGTATCAATGCTCTTTAGAATGACATATGAAACAAATCTTTTTTTTTCCTTTGGGG